TTTGGGAGGTTCAGACCCCGCAGTTCCTGCAGAAATTCCCGCTGGGAAAGGTGGGTCCTCAGACCGGGATTTGGGGTTTGGGGGTCCTGATCCTGAGATTTGGGGTCTGCAGAACTTGGGGTTTTGGGGTTTGGGGTTTCACCCCAAAATCCCAAAAATTGGGGGTTTGGGAGGTTCAGACCCCGCAGTTCCTGCAGAAATTCCCGCTGGGAAAGGTGGGTCCTCATCCCGGGATTTGGGGTTTGGGGTCCCTCAGACCGGGATTTGGGATTTGGGGTTCCTGACCCCCACATTTGGGATTTGGGGTCTGCAGAATTTGGGGTTTTGGGAGGTTCAGACCCCGCAGTTCCTGCAGAAATTCCCGCTGGGAAAGGTGGGTCCTGATCCCGGGATTTGGGGTTTGGGGTTCCTGACCCCCACATTTGGGATTTGGGGTCCCTGAGCCCCACATTTGGGATTTGGGGTTCCTGAACCCCACATTTGGGGTTCCTGACCCCCACATTTGGGATTTGGGGTTCCTGAACCCCACATTTGGGATTTGGGGTCCTGATCCCGGGATTTGGGGTTCCTGACCCCCACATTTGGGATTTGGGGTCCCTGACCCCCACATTTGGGATTTGGGGTTCCTGATCCCGGGATTTGGGGTTCCTGACCCCCACATTTGGGATTTGGGGTCCCTGAGCCCAGGATTTGGGGTCCCTGACCCCCACATTTGGGATTTGGGGTTCCTGACCCCCACATTTGGGATTTGGGGTTCCTGATCCCGGGATTTGGGATTTGGGGTCTGCAGAACTTGGGGCTTTGGGGTTCGGGGCATTGGGGTTTGGGGTTCCATCCCAAAACATTGGGGTTTTTGGGGGGGTTTGAATCCTGAAATTCCCGCTGGGAAAGGTGGGTCCTGAGGCCGGGATTTGGGATTTGGGGTCCTGAGCTCAGGATTTGGGATTTGGGGTCTCTGATCCCAGGATTTGGGGTCCCTGAACCCCACATTTGGGATTTGGGGTCCCTGAGCCCGGGATTTGGGATTTGGGGTCCTGAGACTGGGATTTGGGATTTGGGGTCCCTGAGCCTGGGGTTTGGGTTCCCTGACCCCCACATCTGGGATTTGGGGTCCCTGACCCCCACATCTGGGATTTGGGGTCCCTGATCTTGGGATTTGGGGTCCCTGATGCTGGGATTTGGGGTCCTGAGCCCGGGATTTGGGGTCCCTGATCCCCACATTTGGGATTTGGGGTCCCTGACCCTGGGATTTGGGATTTGGGGTCCTGATCCCGGGATTTGCGATTTGGGGTCTCTGATTTTGGGATTTGGGGTCCCTGATCCCAGGATTTGGGATTTGGGGTCCCTGATCCCGGGATTTGGGATTTGGGGTCCCTGATCCCGGGATTTGGGATTTGGGGTCCTGATCCCGGGATTTGGGGTCCCTGACCCCCACATTTGGAATTTGGGGTCCCTGAACCCCACATTTGGGATTTGGGGTCCTGATCCCGGGATTTGGGGTCCCTGACCCCCACATTTGGGATTTGGGGTCCCTGAGCCTGGGATTTGGGATTTGGGGTCCTGATCCCGGGATTTGGGGTTCCTGACCCCCACATTTGGGATTTGGGGTCCCTGATCCCGGGATTTGGGATTTGGGGTCTGCACAACCGGGGGTTTTGGGGTTTTGGGGATTTGGGGTTTGAGGTTCCACCCCAAAATCCCCAAAATTGGCGATTTGGGGGGTTTTGGGGTGGGAATTGAGAGTTTTGGGGTTTTGGGTGGGAATTATTTAAAGTTTGGAGGTTTTGGGGTGGGAATTGGAAGTTTTGGGGTTTTTGGGTGGGAATTATTTAAAG